AGGATGCACAACTGTTCACAGTTCCCACAATTTCCATATCACACCACTAACCTAATTTACTCATGCGTGAGTCCCACCTCTGCATTATTTCCTCTACTCAAAGGTGCTACGTACTGTAAGGTCAGGGGTTCATTTCATGGTTGGGGTTTGTTTGAGGGGGGGCGGGCAGGAAGTAAGGAGGGACTACCAGATTAAAACTGCAGATGAATTACAAGGTATGGCTAGGCACTCTGGCTCACGCCTGTAATCCCAGCACTTCGGGAGGCCAAGACGGGTGGATCACCTGAGGTCAGGAGTTCAACACCAGCGTGACCAACATGGTGAAACCCCGTCTCTACTAAAAATACAAAAATTAGCCAGGCGTGGTGACAGGCGCCTGTAATCCTGGCTACTCAGGAGGCTGAGGCAGGAGAATCGCTTGAACCCAGGAGGAGGAGGTTGCAGTGAGCCGAGGTCACGCCATCGCACTCCAGCCTGGGGGCCAAGAGGGAAACTCCGTCTCAAAAACAAACAAACCAAAAAAAATTGTAAGATGTGTCTTGAATTCAGAGTTGGTAAAATATGTATATTAGAATGGAGGAAATTGGCCTGTGTCTCCCCCCTAAGCTTGAGACCCCCACGTTTAACTCATCCCGTGCACACTCATCTCATCTGCTTCCTTCCACCCCCAGGACAGCCCTGCCACTGGCCCGTCCTATGCTGGTGAAAGGCAGGACCACCCACTCACAGCCCTGCCAGAACTCGGGCCTCCTTGGCTCCTCCCTCCTGCTCAGTGCCACAGCTATCAATCCGCAGATCTGGTCTGTTCTGCCTTGGAAGTATTTCTGGAATCCAGCCCCTGCCCCTTCCTCATCCAGGCCACCAGTGGTACCTCGTCTGGAGTTCAACTCCGCGTCATTCCTGGCCAGCCTGTTTGGCATTCTCCCCACCCCGCTCTCTTTCTCTTTTTTCTTCTTTGTTTATTTTGTTCAAAATACTTTAAGCATACCGGAGAGTATAGAGACACACATAACAGCAACCAAGTACTCATCACACAGCTTTGCTAAAGCTTCGTATTTTTCCCATCTGCCCCCAGTTCTTTTGTCTTAAATCAAACACTACCGATAATTGAAATCCAATAAATGAAATCCTTTGTGTCCTTCCAAATCTTATGCTTCTTCA